ACTTTATCCAGCAAAGCTATCATTCAGAATTGAAGGTCAGATAAAGAGCTTCACAGACAAGGAAAAGCTAAAGGAGTTCATCACCACTAAACCAGTATTATACGAAATACTGAAAGGTATCCTTTAAGAAGAGGAAGAAGAAAAAGGTAAAGATACAAATTGTGAACAACAAACATGCATCTATCAACAAGTGAATCTAAGAATCAAGTGAATAAATAATCTGATGTACAGAATGAACTGGTGATTATAATGAATCAGGGACATAGAAAGGGAATGGACTGACTATTCTTGGGGGGGAAAGGGGAATGGGAGATTCGGGAAGAGACTGGACAAAAATCGTGCACCTATGGATGAGGACAGTGGGTGGGGAGTGAGGGCGGAGGGTGGGGCGGGAACTGGAAGGAGGGGAGTTATGGGGGGGGCAAGAGGAACAAATGTAATCTGAACAATAAAAATTTAATAAAAAAAAAAAGAAAAAAAGAAAACATATTTGAAGAAATAATGACAGAAAACTTCCCCTACCTGGTGAAAGAAATAGACTTACAAGTCCAGGAAGCACAGAGAACCCCAAACAAAAGGAATCCAAAGAGGACCACACCAAGACACATCATAATTAAAATGCCAAGAGCAAAAGACAAAGAGAGAATCTTAAAAGCAGCAAGAGAAAAAAAGTCAGTTACCTACAAGGGAGTACCCATACGACTGTCAGCTGATTTCTCAACAGAAACCATGCAGGCCAGAAGGGAGTGGCAAGAAATATTCAAAGTGATGAATACCAAGAACCTACAACCAAGACTACTTTATCCAGCAAAGCTATCATTCAGAAGTGAAGGTCAGATAAAGAGCTTCACAGATAAGAAAAAGCTAAAGGAGTTCATCACCACCAAACCAGCATTATATGAAATGCTGAAAGGTAGCCTTTAAGAAGAGGAAGAAGAAAAAGGGACTCTTACCATTTGCCACAGCATGGATGGAACTAGAGAGCATTATGCTAAGTGAAATAAGCCAGTCAGAGAAGGATAAATACCACATGATCTCACTCATTTGTGGAATATAATGAACAACATAAACTGATGAACAAGGACTGATCCAGAGACGGAGAGGCATTGATTGGAATGTCGGGCCTTGGAGGGAAGGTAGGGGAGGGTGGGGGTAAGGGGGAAAGATCAACCAAAGGACATACATGCAAGCATATAGGTCCAACCAATGGACACGGACAACGGGGGGGTGAGGGCATGAGCGGGGGGTGGGGGTAGGGGGTAACGTGGGGATAAGGACACATATGTAATATCTTAATCAATAAAAAATATATTTAAAAAATAATAAAATAAATAAATAAATAAATAATAAAAAAAGAGTTTTTGCACGGGCTCTTTAAGGTGATGCCTTGGTTTCCAGCAGCCTTCCGTCACACCCTGATGGTTAGAATCCCCTCTGCTTTTCACAGCCAGATGTTATGTGATATCCTCCCCTGGCACTGGTGTTCTGGGCTGGGATGCCCTGCATGGGGATCAGACCCCTAACTCCTCCAGGAGACCTCTACAGCTGAGATATCCTGCCAGATTCTCAACTGCCACATGTAAGTGTGGTGCCAGCTGTTTTCACATCTCCACCCTTCCCACCAGTCTCTATGTGGCTTCTTCTTTATATCCTTAGTTATAGAACTTCTATTCATCTAGTCTTCAGGTGCTATTCCCATTTATTGTTCTATTATTTAGTTGTATTTTTGTTGTGGTTGTTAATCCTCATCTGAGGATGTTTCTCCATCGATCTTTTAGAGAGAGTGGAGAGAGTAGAAGAAAGAGGGAAAGACAGAGAGAAACATCAATGTGAGAGAAACACATCAATTGTTTGCCTCCTGCACATGCCTTGACCAGAGCCAAGGCCAGGGAGGAGACTGCAACCAAAGTAGTGCTCTGGACCGGAATCGAACGTGGGACCCTTTGGTCCACAGGCCGATGCTCTGTCTACTGAACCAAACCAGCTAGAGCTAGTTGCAATTGTGATGTGGCCATGGAAGGGGTGACTATAATGTCCACATATTCTGCGATTTGGACCAGAACCACTTTTTAAAATTTTTAATTTTTTTCAATTAGAGTTGACATGCAATGTTACTTTATGTGTACAGCATAGTGGGTAGACATTTATATAATTTAAGAAGTGATCCCTCCAGTTAACTCTACTACCCACCAGGCATCATACATAGTTATTAAAATATTATTGACTATTTTTCCAATGGTAAACTTTATTCTGAAATGACAAAATTATAGGCATGGGGAACACTTTAGCAGTTGCCAAGGAGTGAGAAGAGGGAGAGAAGAGATAAGTATAAAAATAAAAAAAAATAAGCACTGTAATTTCTTAAGGTGATGGCACTGTTCAATACTTTGACTGTAGTGGTCACGTAAACCTACACATGTGATAAAATTTCATAGAGTGATATACACAAGCAAATGGGTGTATGTAAAACTGGTGACATTGGAATAAGGTGGATAGATAGTATCTTTGTCAGTTTCCTGTTTGTGATGTTTTACTATAGTTATGCATGATGTTACCATTGAGGATGAAGGATATTTGGGATTCCTCTTAATTTTTCTTAATGGCATGTAAATCCACAATTATCTTGAAATAAAAGCTTTTTAAATGAGTATGAGGTATACGCTCTGATGCCCATTTAATAAATAGAATAAGGCATGGAGATAATCATAAGTTTAGTTTGAATAAGACCTAGTAGGAAGTCTAGCTTAAAACTCACCCAAATTGGAGTTTCCAGTTCAGAAACTAAGACTGGAACTAATACAAGGACCACCAGCATTTACACTAATGAAAAATGTTTCAGAGAATTCCAGCAGCCCCCTTACCCAGTTATCAAGTATATAAGAGATCCTAAGCAAAAACTGCCTGGTTGAAAAGAACCATTATTTGATCATAATAAGTAATTTTAAACTTTTAAGCCACTAGCTTTTGGGATGGTTTGCTATGCTATAATCAGAATACATACTACATTAAGCAAGGAAAGCGAGTGGTTGTAGCCAAATAGATGAGTCTACAGATTTCAAATAATAGGATCCATGTTTGTCCCAGGCTGGCTCCTGAAACCCATTTTCCTGAATACTCTCTAAGCAGGTCAGGAGTGATGACAAGGGTTGGGGGATGCAAACAAAAAGGACATTGAACAACCAGTCCTTGCCCTTGAAGAACTCACAGTCTAGTGAGACAAAACATCAGTGCATTAAATGGCATCTGAACAGTTATAAGGCAACAAATCAGCAAGCTCAAACTAATATACTACAGCACAAATTGAATGCATGTGGCAATGTATGGCTACCCAAGCAGCAGAATGAAGCTAGACATTTTCCGCCCTGAAGGCAACATTTCAGAAAGGGCCCCACTTTCTTTGTTAACAGTGAAATAAACATCTCCAGCAATGCAGGGGCTAGTTGGGTGATATTAACACTTTTGTAGAAAGGAAAAAGGAGGTTACTTCCTGGGACAATTATTCTTGCTTTAATTTTCCTTTGTTCTCTTTTCTTGATATGTGTATTTTTGGCAAGCCACAATTTCACTGAGTATCAATTTCCTTACCTATAGATTAGAGATTAAAAAAAAACAGAGAGCAGTGGGTTGAAAGTCAGGAAATATGTGTTGGAATCTCAAATTTATCATTTACTAGCTATATGACTTTGGATACATCACTTCCCCTGTCACCGCCCCCCCCCCATAAACTTCCTCTACTGTGACATGAAAAGGTTAGGCTGAATGGTCCAGATGGTCCCCACCAACTCTAATATTTGAGGCCACAGGTAATTCATAGTTCGTTGTGAGAGTTTAAAAAGTAATGTGATCTATATGAAAGTACTCTGTAAGTCATAAAATAGTACATCAATGTTAGGGATATCAATATTATCCAGTTCCATGTCATGGGAAAAAGCCCTGCAGCTCTCCCCCAAGTTTAGGGACTTAAAATATAAATGGGTACTGTCAGGGCAGCACTTTTGGGACTTAGAAATTTCTAATTCTTTATAAATATTGCTTGCAGAATAAACACAAATTTGGAATAGTCTGTCTCAAGGCATCAGCAGTGCTATTGTAATTTCAGGGTTGAGTTCTTGTCCAACTCAAAATCATAGGGACTACTAAAACAGTGGAGGCTATGGGCCACTCCAAGTTTTCCTCAATACCCTTAATGTTTATAGAGTTCCTTTCCTTGGGGATTTGGGAGCTCTCTTTGTGGGAGAAAACAGATTTCTAAGTCCCCTCTCCCTCCACCTGCACCCCCATCTCCACTCTGCCTTTAACTACACCAAGCTTTATCACTTCATTAACTGCAATGGGGATTTGGGAAAGGCCTCCAAACGATAAGCAGCTTGCTAGGACATAATTCAGGGGGCCAACTCATCCTGTGCCTGGTGCAATGGCTCAGGACCAGACCAGGTGCATGCATCCAGAGAGGCTCTTATGCCAGAGGAGAGGGGTGCAGGCTTCCAGTCAGGAAAGTCAGAGGGTAGCTGGGGTCTTCGAGGAGGCTGGTGCAAGAGGTAGTGAGCTCCTGAGTGCATCCTGCTCAGAGGGGAAAGAAGTGGCCTGAGGAGATGTGCGGTCCCTTTAAGACCCCAAAGCTTGCTTAGCCAGACGAGGGGGGTGCAGTGGGGGCGCTGCGTGATGGGAAAGTCGCCGGCTGAGCCTCACATTTTCTCCCGATTTCCTAACTTTCCAGTGTGGGGAGCAGGAATAAAGCCATAGTGCGGAGTGGAGAAGGGGTGCCGGCTGGCAGAGGCTGCGCGCTTGCAGATTTCCCGCCTGCGCCTAGCGGCGGCCACGCAAGCCAAGTGGGGAGCGGGAAGCGGGGAGCAGGGAACAGGGAGCGGGCGGCGGGCGGCGGGCGGGCGGCGGGCGGGCGGGCAGGTGGCCCCGAGCTGCTGGCGCCCGAGCCTTGGCTCAGCCCCCAGGAGCCCAGCGAACCGCTGCTCCCTCGTGGTGTGAGGGCGGTGATGTTTTTCCTCCCACCCACTTTTGGGTCCCCCCGCCCCCCTCGCGCGCACTCTAGCTCTCTCCACAACCTGCGAGCCACAGATCTCAGAGGAGCGCCAGGGAGAGCTTGGAGCGCGTGCACCGGTGGAAGACAGAGGAAGCCAGTGAACAGGTCAGTGAGCAGTGCCTGGCTTCTGCTTCCCCTACCTTCCTTTCCAGCCTTTGCACAGGTGGAGTATCTTCTGCTGGCCGGCCGGAGCCACTCCTGAAAGTTCCCAGAGGGCGCCCCAAACTCTCTCGATCTGTCACCTCAACTCGATTTAGGTTCCAGCTGCCAGCGGCCAGGGTGGAGGTGGGGCCCAGGGTGCCTGACCCGAGGTAGGTTGGGGATTCTGAATTCGAACTCACCACTCTCCACTCCCTACTCAGCCTGCATATTTCCATGCTCTGGTGCTTCTGGAGGCCAAATGGGAAGCTACCTAACGGGTTCTGGAATCCCCTTAGTTATCCCATTTGTCCAGAGCCTTTATTCTCACTTGCTAAAGTGCCCTGGACCAGTGGGAGATTAATATGTGCTAAAGTTAATGAAACAGGAGAAAGAGAGAGAGAGAGAGAGAGAGAGAGAGAGAGAGAGAGAGAGAGAGACTCCTCTAGCCCTCTAGCCTCTGGACAGTTGCCTCGTTTTCCAACCTAAACAACTGGGGTCAGAGTTTGAGATGCTAGGCTCAGGAAGCAATCCAGTATTGCCAGGGCCTGGAAAGCCTGCCTTCTAGTCCCTCTGGCCCTGCCACTACCTCTATGAACATGGGCAATTGAGTTCTGTAGGCTCAAGGGAGCTTGAGATTATTGTTGGGAATAAAATGAAATTATAACAAGATGTTTTGCAAGCCATTGTTTGTCAATAGTAAGTAGCAATGAAGGCATTGACTCTGAAAAGAGTCACCTGGGCTAGAACTGCCATTTTTCAGTGAACTGCGCTTTTCTTTTTGGGAGGTAGAGTGGGGAGAGGATGTTAGCCATCACTGTCTGAGACTGCAGTGTCTTCCTATTGTCCGAAAGAGAATTGCTAACCCGGGGGCTATCCCACAGATGATAGTGAATGTGAGATTACAAGGTCTGTCAAGCCTCTCAGTAAGGATTAGAGACGCTGTGGGACGGGGCCTGAAGAACTGGCTGACATGTGCTCAGCCCTTTCTTCCTCTGAGAATGTCTCTTTGGTTCTGTTCTACCCAGGAGACCTCTTCTGAAAATGGACAGGCTCCTGTCAACTTGATGGCTCAGACTGCCTTGCAGTTATAGCTGGGCAAGGAGACCTTGGGCCCTTTGCTTGATGCAAATGAACAATGCAAATGCTTGTTTCAGGGCATCTTAATCTACACATTTCTTTAGGTTCTGACATGTTTCTTTTTGTCTTATAAAACTCAGTCTCCCTCTCCCCTCCCCAGTGTCAGTTGCAGGATTTCATTTTCTTTGTTGTTTTCTTGCTGTGGCTTGGATCTCCCCAAAACATGTCAATGGCTACATTTCTAAGTAACCTGTAAAAGAACCAGTGCAAGTTCAATGGCATAGCCTGTGTGAAGCAGAGAGTTAATGCAGAAATAACTCCAGTTAACTGGGTCAAAGTATAATTTGAAAAATTAAGGACAGTTTGGCTCTTTGCAAGTGAAAGACTCGGCATGTTTGCTGAGCAATGCTTGCTTGTGTTTATTGCTACAGTCCCAACAAATGTCTTGCACCACCCTGCTCCCACAAAAGAAAAAATAAAATGGATAAGAGAAATTGAATGGTGAGGAGACCTGGAAGGGAACTCTGCTTAGTTTATATTTCTGCACAGAATACAAAGGCAGGACTCCAGGATCTTGTAAATCAAAAGTGAAGATTTATAAAGCGATTAGTTTTCTGATGTTCTACATCACAGCCTGGGAGGCCACAAAGATGACAGGAACAGCAAAAGAGATTAATTGCTCTCTCGTCACCAACTTTTCTATTTGCTCATAACATTAGTTGGGACCCAAGAAAAGCAAAAAAAAAATCTAAGAGCCGTTTTCTTGCCAGCATGAGTTATGAAGCAATGCTACTGTTCACTGAATCGCCCAACCATTGTACAAGAAAAACAACCCTGTTGGTTCTTGCATGGGGAGACCTGAAAACTGTGGTTTGAGAAATACTTCCTGAGATCTATATGTGATTGTGATAAATTGGATTTCAGTGGTTTAAAAAAATATTTCTCAGATTTGGGGGATAAGCTTATTAAAGTAGACTCAGAAAGAACGTCCCAACTGTTCATGCAAATGATTCGCTTCAAGGGAACCTGGTAGCTCTTAGAAGACAGAGACATTCTGAATGATTGAAGGTGGACCACAAACTCACCAAGGGACCAAGACATCAGAACCCATACCTTTGACAGGCTAGGAATATGTCTGAGGACAATTTAGTTCTTGTTTAAGGAGCAGGGAGGAGGTAGAGAAGGCAGAATGGTATGGAAAATCCTGGCTGATGACACAAGTTATTCTCTATGATTAGTTATCCTTTGGTTATTATATGCATAAATGGATTTTCAAATACCTGGACAACTTCAGAGCATTTAAAGTAGGAGCTGTGGTATCCATATCACAGCCCAAAGACAATTTACTTCTCCAGAATGATCATCTTGCATTTCTTCCAGCTCTTTATACTAGGTATTTAGGTTGGATCCTCTGAAAAGTTCAAGGAGCTGAGTTACCGTCCAGGGTTAAGCCCAGATTGAAATATGATGTTTCTCAAGTATTTAAATATTTTCAAATCACCAATTGGAAGAGTTTTGCAAACTCTAAAGCCTATGGAAATGACCTGTGACTGGATATGAGCTGTAGCAAACTTTCTCTGTTTGAAGGCTCAAAAGATTTAAGATTTCTACCCCTTAGACTGGAAATGTAAGTCTCACATTTTTAAGAATTGTAGTTGCTTTATAATGTTCTTTTGCCTGGTGGTGTAATGTAACACATTAACTGTTTAATTTTGCCTAAATTTTCTGAAAAGTGACCCCTTTTACATTTCCATTTCACAATATGCCTGAGCCATTCAGGTATTTAATTGCATCCATTTGCTAATTACATCTATGTTTTCCAACATAAGTAAGCCAAACTGAAGAGCCTTATAGATCCAATGGAGGACATAGGAGAAACACTGAACTTTGTGCTTCATCCCTGAAGTATTAATAAAACAGAAGTCTTGAAGATAAGATTAGTTAACTTTCAGAAATTGTTTGGGTCTCATGCCTATCATTTTTATCTAGTTTGCCAAAGTAGCTGTTTTGCAAACCCCCGTTTCCCTTTTTCCCCCAAAGAAAATCTCTTGAGAAATCAACTTTAATTCCCTTAGAAATGAGATTTTAAAATTTATTTTTATTTCCCTACGACTTGACTTAGCATTGGATAGAAATGCATGTTCATTGTCTTCGCAAGACAGGAGAGGCAGGTTCTATTTCTTACACAGGAAAACAATGCTTGCACTTATGTAAATTCTCCAAAGTGTTTTTTTCTTTCCTAGCACGTTAGAAACACTAAGCATCAGTGATCTCCATCACTTTCAGAGGATCTTTTTAAAGTCTTTCTGTTTTCTTCCCAACAGCTTGACTACACCAGACCCTGGAAGTTTTGAGTTGCCTTTTGCAGTGGCCAAAATGAGAAATAAGTGGAAAATGGGAGGAATAAAATACATCTTTACCTTGTTGCTGTTCTTTCTTTTCCTAGAAGGAAGCAAAACAGAGCAAGTAAAACGTAAGTGTCTCAAGTTTTAAAAACAGGATGCTTTTTTTGTAATTTCTTTGAAAATGTGGTTATAATCTGTGTTGAATGTGATGTAGCCCAAATGTGGCCATGCCATTATTCTAAGAGAAGAAAGTGATTGTTACTGGTTTATGCATGAATTGATAAGAGAATAAGAGTTTTGAATCAGGCCAACTAAATTTGGGGCTGTTTTTCTGATTATCATATAGTTTTCATCTCATAGTACACATGACACATTAGCCTATTTTCCTTTTCCTGTTTTAAACTGTACGAATCTCATTCCATTTTACGTAACTCTAGAAATATCTGACAGTTGAGCTGGATTTTTCTCAAATTTCAGACTCTTCAGCAAAGGTTTTCAGTGTATGAAAAAGAATAACGGGAAAAAAAGAAAAGTAAAGTGGGCTTTGCCTATTCCCTTATGCAGAAAATAAAGAAGGAAAAAGCCTTCACATGAGCTGGATTCAGATGAAAAATCCTTTGAGGAAATTGAGATTCCAGGGACCGTGAGCAAATTGGATGCCATTTATTGAAAGGAATAATTCCCTGCAAAGCCAGGGAATATTTCTAGAAAATCAGCGATCCGTGTGATGGGCTAACATGTTGGAGAGAACAGAGTGGCAGGAAGTGGAGCTAATTAACCCTCATTGCCGCCACATTTGGGAGATTTATGAGTAACCATTGACTTCTCTGCTCTTGTTAGGAGCTTTCTGCTGCCTTCACACAGTATGAGCCTCAGCTTCTTTGGGCCAATTGCAGCCACCTCTGAGCTGGACACTTGCTCCAAATTTTCAAGAAAAGCCATAGCTGTAGTTCCCTTTTTTGGCTGCATCAAAAGAAGCACAAAGTGGAACTGGTCCAAAAAGGGCATTCTCTGCTCCAATGAACTTATTCATAAGAGGGAACTGTGAAAATATTCTTGGTAGGAGCTGAATTAGTATCCAAAGCCCATCATTTAAACATTTATCTCCTCTATTAGCATAAGTTACATATATTAGGCATGAAGTTTGTTGAAAGGGGGAACAAACTTATTCCATTGTTTTGTGTGTTTCTGTACTGCTGTGATTTTCAGAGTAAACTTAGCCTTCTTCCTGGGAAAAATAATGATTTTATTAGGTTTTTAAATATGAATGATGTATAGTGATATCTCGTATGATTGGGCCGTAAGACGAAACTTAGCAGGGCACGACCTTAGCAAGGAAGCTTGGATCAACCTCTCCCCATGTATTCCTTAAACTCCTTCCTCTTCCACTTCGATATACTCCATCAGATCCCTCCTTTTCTAGAAGTTGTCCCCTTGATTTAAGGGGACTTGATAAAAAAGTTTTCTATTCATTCTCAGCTCAGCTCAGCCCACAATCAGCTGGGCTTAAATTCCGTTCTCTCTTAGGAAGAAACTTCCCTTATAGCCTGTTACTGATGGCATCATGGGGAAAACAAGCAACTCTTAGAAGACCATCTCTCCTGGGAAGCCTTCCATATTTATGAAGGATTGAGGAATATTGCCCATGTGATGTAGGGCTTAGTTGAAAAAACAAAGAAAAATGCAACTTAAAAACTATTTACAGACCAAAAACTGTAACTTTTTAACATTTCCTACTGCCTATGAATTTGTCCCAAGCCCTTTTGATATTCAGTTGGTGTCGAAATGATTATGTAACACATGGCCTAGGGCACCAGTTTTGGTCTGGTGTTTCAGGCTTTTAATCAGAAGATGAAGGCAAGGTCATGGTCATTCCCTGAATGAGCCATTCAGCATCATTCTTTGTGGCCACACCAAGCTAACTATCTCAAAGACATATGCAAACTTATCTCTACTAAAGGGGAAATCTCAAAGCATATGCCCAATGTATGTTGCCCCCACCACACATACACACTGCATGCGCAGAGCCTTACACTGTAGCTCTAACAGTGGAAGTATCAATCCATTGGTGAATGGACATGTAATGTACTATCATGCAACCATTAAAATGTGCTTATTGAAAATTGATAGCCATGGAAAATACTTATATTAACTTATTTTAACATTTTCATATTATAAAATTAATAATACTTACTTTACAAAACACTATGAAAGTATCTCAGCTTTGTAGAGAATATGTATCCCATAACTCCCATCCCAAACCCCCAGGCTAGCCATTACTAACAGTTTGCATGTGATGTGTTCTTCCAAACTCTTTTCTCTGTGTTATGAAAATACATTGATATGTTTATAGACTGTTTTCTTTTACAAAAATGGGACATGTGTCTTTTTCTGTAACTTGTTTTTATTCAGCAATGTGTCTAGGACATCCTTCCATGTCAGAACATTGCAATATAAAAGTACCATATTCATTCTAATGCCTTCAGTTTCCAGTTGTGTAAGTGTGCCATGGTTTATTTAACCAGTCTCTATTTGTAGATATTTAGGTTGTTTTCAGTTTTTGCTATTACAAATAAGGCATTAATGAACACCTTTAGGCAGTTAGGTAAGTACTTGTGAGGAATCGTTAGGTCAATGTCTATGTTCAGTTTTAATCTTCTAAGGACTGTCAAATTTTCCTCAAAAACAGTTGTATTAATTTATACTCCCACTATCTTTGTATGAGTTCCCATTTTTAATTCTTTTACCAAAAGTATTATTAATCTTGGATTTTAGGACAAGTTTAATAGGGAAAACCACATTTCAGTTTTGCTGTGATATTTTCCTCTTACTGGAGCATCCTTTCCGTTATTTTTTAATCCAATTGCATTTCTTCAGTGAATTGCATATTTTTCAGTTGGGTTGCTTGTCTTATTGGTTTGTAAAAGTTTACTTATTACCATTTTGTTATTTCAAATTTTCTCATTCACTTTTTGCATTTCAAATATCATTTTCCCCATCTGCCATTGGCTTTAAACTTTAAGTTGTATTTTCTCACAAAGAATTTTAATTTTTTGTGTAGCCAGAGCTGTCATTCATTTCATGTGGCTTCTGGATTTCTTGTTATTCCTAGGAATGTCTTTTTAACTCCATATTCTTATATATTGTTCTACTGCTTATACAATTTGGGGTTTTACCCATAGTTCTCTATTCCATCTAAATTTATAATCATGTATGGTGTGTAATAGGGAACCAATTTTCTTTATTTCTGGTAGTAGGTTCATGAATATTATTTTTGTTCATCTTTGTGCTTCTAGTTGTTCCAAAGTTTTCACAATTGGCAAGAATTACTTTTATGTAGAAGAAAAACCCTTTAAAAGAATATCTCATTCCACATGTATTCTATAGAAGGGTAGGTATGAGAGTGTAAGAAGGCAAAAGAGGGGCTTTTGTTTCTTTTTAACTTAGAGAAACTTCAGGAAACATGTGTGAGTGTAGCTCCTTGTTGCCAGATAACCATTTTACCCAAGAAAGCCAAGGGTTTTTTTCTTTTTCTTTTTTTTTTTTATCATTCACAGGATGGTTAGAATATAAGCTCTAAATCAAAGAAGGTGCTCTGTAGCTTGTTTGCACTCCTATTTTGGATATCAAAGTGGAATGAAGGGGGGGCACCATTATGGCTAAAGATACTCATTCAGTTGGTGTAAAATCTGAAGAGGTCTGCAAAAAATGCTATATTTGAGGAAAGCTGTTTTCACAAGAAAATGTTGAGGTGGGTGCTGCCACTTGCTAGCAGCTAAGTAGACATCATTACAGTTGCGCTCCTAGGAGGGAAGACAGGCTCAGGAACCCAGGAAATATTGATGGTGCATTTCAGTCGATGAATGAGCCATTTGTGCCTTATATAAAAGTTTGTTACTGTTCAGAATCAGCAAGGTTTGAAGTCTTTAACTGGGAAAATGTCTTTCTGTAGCTCCATTATGCTGTGTTGTTAAAGTTCTAGTGAAAAAGGCCAATAACTCTTTTGAAGTTCAAAGGAGTGTAACATTTAGTGCATAATATTCATGCAAATATGGGACAAATAGAATGAAGTGTTTGCTTCTTCCAGCAGTTCTAACTTAGGTAATGAACTATTGATCAAAGTGACGTGGAAGAATTGAGTTGTTAAGAATATTCAGTTATTTTGAATTGACCATCCTGTGCCACATCTGGCACAGGATCTAGGGGGAGGAATTTCTCATTTACGTCACAGAGTCCATTTTTGTATATTCTTTATTGTTGAAAGTATTATATATGTCCCTTTTTCCCTCTATTGTCTTCTCCCAGTCTGCCCCGCCCCCAGCCCCAGCCTTCACCCTCCCCCATTGTCTGTGTCCATAGACTATGGTTATATGCATACAAGTTCTTTGGTTGAACTCCTATCTCTCCTCCATCTCCCACCCTCCACAGCCTTCCTGAAGTTTGACGGTCTGTTCGATGACTGTGTCTCTGGCTCTATTTTTGTCCATCAGTTTATGTTGTTCATTATATTCCACAAGTGAGCACAATCATGTGATACTTATCTATATCTGACTGACTTATTTTGCTTAGCATAATGCTCTCCAGTTCCATCCATGCTGTTGCAAATGGTAAGAGTTCTTGCTTTTTTACAGCAGTGTAGTATTCCATTGTGTAGCTGTACCACAGTTTTTTAATCCACTCATCTGCTGATGGGAACTTAGGCTGTTTCCAAATCTTAGCTATGGTAAGTTGTGCTGCTATGAACATAGGGATGCATATATTCTTTCGGAATGGTATTTCTGATTTCTTGGGACATATTCCTAGAAATGGGATTACTGGCTTAAATGGGAGTTCCATTTTGATTTTTTGACAAAAGTCCATACTGTTTTTCACAGAGGCTGCAGCAGTCTGCATTCCCACCACCAGTGTACTAGGGTTCCCTTTTCTCCACATCCTTGCCAGCACTTGTCATTTGTTGATTTCTTGATGACAGCCATTCTGACAGGTGTGAGATGGTACCTCATTCTCGTTTTGATTTGCATATCTCTGATGGTTAGTGACTTTGAGCATGTTTTCATATGTCTCTTGGCCTTCTGTATGTCCTATTTCAAAAGTGTCTATATAGGTCCTTTGCCTGTTTTTTTTTTTT